TTCAGTAGTTCTACTTTTATTCCTACCACTAGATTAACTAGTACATTAGTGGCAGGTACAGTGTATGTTCATTTGTGTAGTTATAATGTACTTTATTGTATACATAGGTACTTCAACTGCTTCATCCTCATCTGTTATAGCATGCTCATCCCTAACTTCTTCATCCATTGTCCTTTCATCCCTAACTTTGTTATCTTCATCTTCTTCATCTTCATCTCAAACTTTGTCATATTCTTCATTCCCAATGCCTTCGTCCATAGCTCCATCTTTGTCTTCATCTTTAAATTTGCCATCAGTAACTTCTAAAACTTCTTCCTCCCCAACTCCTTCATTGACAGCTCCTTCATCCATATCTTCTTCTTCATCAATTATTGGACTGGCTTCTGGGATATCAATTGCACTACTAATTATAATAATTGGTATGTACATTATAATCAAATGTTGTTATTAATATGTACATTGTAGTTGTTATAGTAATTGTAGTGGTAGCAGCAACCCCATATAGAAATTTCAAGCTTGCTACAAGCTTGTTACAACCAGTTCACAACCTTGCAAGGTTGTAGCAACCTGGTAACAACCTTGTACAAAAGTGATAAAGTTGTGAGCAACCTAGTGACAACCTTGTATAAAAGTGCTGAAGTTGTGACTAACGTGTTACAAACATAACAACCTTGTGACAAGGTTGTCCGAAGGTTGGCAGGAAACTGAGGTTTCATTAAGTACGCCCCACGATGATATGAAGCTATTGCTACCATATATAAGGGGACCATTGACCAGCCCTTGTACAAGTCAATAAAGATAGCATTAATACACATCCACATCTTTATACATTAACTACATGTATCATAGATACATTACAAGTATCTAGAAATCATTTGACATTATATGACATTAATTATGTGTCGATAGGCTTTCAGATTATAGTTATTCTATTGAATTTAATTTACATTGTGACAAGGTTGTCACAAGGTTGTTACATGGTTGTCACAAGGTGGAAAACGTGTCAATTCCAGGGTTTTTACAAGGTGGTGGGCCTTGTGGCCAGGTAGGGACCACCTTGTGACCACCTAGTAACAACAACATTGTCACAAGGTTGCCACAACCATGCTGCAACCTTGTTTTTTCTATATGGGACAGTTCGATTTGAAAAGAGAAGAGGAAGAATAGAAGTGATTAATGATGTTACATTACTGAAGAGGAATGAAAATAATAATCAAAGTACTGTAATTTATTTATTCATTTATAAACAAGGTTTACTTATAGGTTCACAAGAGCAAGAACTATCATCAGTTAATCCACAGTATGAGAATGTACATCTACCAGTTCCACAATCAGAACTATCAATGGAAGAATGTGCTGCTTATGGTGTAGTGAAAGGTACTAGATTCCCACAGTATGAGACTGTAGATCTACCAGCTCCACAGTCAGAGGGAGACTATGAACTAGCAGTAAAAGAATGTGCTGCTTATGGTGTAGTAGAGAGTGCTGGATTCCAACAGTATGAGACTGTAACATTAACAGTTCCTCAGTCGAAACTATCAATGGAAGAGTGTGCTGCTTATGGTGTAGTAGAGGGTAATAGACTTTAGAGTTAGTGTGTGTGCTGGACTGGATTTGGTAAATTGATAAATTTTAATAATTAAAAAATTTCATTCAAAAATTTCAATACCATTGTAAACATTACTATATATGGTTAGTTTCCACATAGAATAGTAATATAAGGGGAAGTCAAAATGAAGTACTTATTGATATTAATTCTTGCACTAATACAGAGTGTGCTGCTTATGGTGTAGTAGAAGGTAGTAGATAAGTACATATCAAACTACCAGTCTGAGAAATTGTAATTAAGAAAATTGCATGCATACATAATGAGGTATGTAGGATGTAAAGCCACACCTTTACAACATTAATGTCAAATTGCATGGTTGGTTCACTGAACATGATGGCCTTTGTTGCTGCTGTAATGTTTTTCTGTCAAATTTGCTTTTCTGGTAAGTTCTAATTTTGATATTGAAAACTTAGAATTATTTTAGGTGCAATTATATCATTTACACTGTTTATAGTTTCAGCTGAAGACAGTAGTTCCTTCACTATTGTACCAAAGACACAATATGTATATGTCAATGATAATGTGACATTTGAATGTACTACTAATGTGACTCATTATCATCCACTCTTTTGTGACTAATCCATCAGTTAATGGTT